CCTGTAATAGGCATTACATGCATAATACTTAATTTATGTAGGCATCCAAGATCTAAAGCTACCTCTTATCATGAGGAAACGAGGGCGCCCAAAAGGGGCAGAGAAAACAGTAATAGGACTACCATCTCGAAAGAAAAGAAAAAGTGAATTACACAGGGTAGCTACATTTTTAAAGAAATCTTCTCGGGAAAGAGAGAAAGGTTGGTCAGATTTAAAATTAATAATAATATTTATTAGCATTTTTAGTAATGCTTTCATGGTTTGTTGATAGTCAAGTAAGAGACTCTGTCATTGCAAGGAAAAGAGTAGTGGAAGAAGCGGATGTTGAAATTTGTCCTGAGAAAATACCATCTTCTTGTCTGGATGAAAATGTTTGCATTAATTCAAGTCAAAAATATTTCTCAGCAGATGCTTGGATGGCAGTTGAGCAAGTGCTCAAAGTAGTGAAAAATAATCCTGCTTGGTTTTGTGGATCATGTGAAAATAAAATTGATGCCAGTACAGAAGACTCTATTGTTTGTGAATCATGTTTGTCATGGTTCCACTTCAACTGTTTGGGCCTTAGAAAGTCGCCAATGTCATGTAAATAAAGACAATGAAGTCTAAGTACATGTATTATCCTCATTATTTATGTACTTGTCTCTCTATTTTTACACTCACCTCTTTCTACTTATTTCTTTTGACTAATGACAAAATCATTATGTTTGGATTCAACTTACTTATTGTTTTCTATTTAATATTCACGATTAATTTATTAACACACACATAGCCACACCCAATTTAATCACGTGATCGCCATTGCCGGACCAATAGCGCTGCAAATCGTGTCCGGCTGCCGGACCAATATCCACTTCCTAAAAATAATGAAGATATTTAGGCACATTAACAACTGTTTTATAATGCTTTTGAGTCAGATAATACTGAATATAAGTATTTAGTGACATATCATTCCAAATAGTACACTTTTTACTACCAATTCCTTTATCAAGGACACTGAACTTTTTTTGGACAAAATAGTGAGCTAAGTGCGTTCTTGCAACACTATGCACTCATAAAGGACATCAAATTATCAGATTGTGGCAAATTTTATACTCTACCATGCTATATTGTTTATTGTTCATGGTGAATTTTTTCAAAACACGAAAATCGCAAAATTTAATCCCCGCAAAATATATGGCATATTGTCACCAATATATGTTTCGACTGTTTAGACTGAAAACTTAGTTTAAGGCATTTATTGGTTTACAGGGCTTAAAAAGCAATTACAAGCTACTTCTGAGAAATTTATCTTGACCACTGGATTTAACATTTAACCTCACTGCAGCACTAGTAGCAAATTTTTCTGGCAACATTTTTTATCATAATCAATTAAGTATTGCCAACAGATGTTAGTAGCATGCAGTC